TTGTGATGTAGGAATTTTGTTAACCAATGTCATTAGGGAATTGCAATCCTACAGACGACCTGGTTCACTACTTCTTACTACAAATTAAGAAGATCCATATAGTGAGCAAGTGGTATCAAGTCAGAGGAAAACGAAAACAACGAATTCACCATTGATCACATCTCTTCACTATTGCACACTAATTTCGGTCCAAACCACGGATTTTCCATATCTCAGTAAGTCCAAAAGCTTGAAATAGCAGAGTTAAAACTAAAGGATTCTCATTTCTTACTTTAAAAATGCCCCACGATATGTGTATGTAATAATCACTCAGTAGCCTCGTCCGTATTATCGGAGTGTGAACACCAGTAGGTCTCTAGGTGAGTGTTCTGCTCCCTAATTCAGATGAACTTCCATCCTAGTATTGATGTTCACAACGAGACTCAAACTCAGTACCTACTGACTTGAATAACAGCTCCTTATCCACTAAACTATTATTCAATTTCAGTGTCAAAAACAGTAAAATTTAAACGTAAAAAATATCATAGCTTGGCATTTGTTACGAAACTAACAATCAGATAAGATTCACATGCTAAACCAGTGATATTACTGACAGAAACTGTACAAGGGATAGTTAATAAAGCACTTTTGATATTTTTGACTTAAGTTCTAACGTATTAATAACTAACATTTTGTTGCCAGATTACTTATTAATTATCAAAAATTTTGAAAAATATTTAACATTAATTTTGACAGAAAGAATTTATAAAAATTAGCTGCGATATTTCCAGTCTACTGTGTATAGGAACGTTACATTGACACGAAAATCAAAATTTTTACTGATTTATCAGGTGAAACTTCAGGCAAAGCACTCTCTTTTATTGTTAATTTTAAGTATGTTACCATATGAGGACGGTCCATGAGTGAACTCGAGGGTGGTGCAAGAAGGTCAGAAAGAGTCGAAAATATTCCATCCAATCAACTTTTGGAAAAATATTCCAGAATCCCTACGTGTAGCTTCCCTATTAAGGGAATGCTGATAACCCCCTGTATGTGGATTGGAGGACTATAATGATGACTTCGTTTTTACTAAAAACTTTAAATACCTGACAGTTTTGTATCTCAAATGACACTATTTGAAATAGCGTTCCTTCCACTTATCTCTTGTCTTTTCATTTGCGAATCGGGAGGGTTCTAGAGTTTGAGTGCTCACGTTAAACGTGGTATATTAAGAATCTAAGCACTAGATATAGCATACTATAAACTATATTTAAGATGGAAATAACTTATAAAAATTTCTTTGACTGACTTTCGTATCCCTTTTTTCTTTTTAAAATTTCAATAAGAATGAAATAGGAATATTGGACAGAAAAGGGTTATTATAGTGTAGATAGAAAGAAATCAAAAACAATAAGTTGGTTTACGAAGATAACATTCGCAGGGTTTATTGATGGGGATTAGAAACGCGATTTGAAACTCATATCTATACAATTAGCCTAAAGGTTTTTTCAACGTTTGCCTTATCTGTTCCAAAGAATCTTGCGAATAATTTGATTTTAAAAAATAACGAATAATTCTAAAAATTTGATTATAAAAATATGTTCAAAAAATAAATGAGATTGGAATGGGATTAAATGTTTTAATAATCCATGTTCACTGAAAGATTTAGTTTCCAGGTTAAACATCTACCAGGATACTGAGTGTATATTACTGAGGAGTTTCAAATCTAAACAAAACAGACATTCAACGAACATAATCTTATATCATACTTTGTGGTGAAAATGGGTTTTGAGTGTTAAATTAGTTTAGTTGCGAACTTTTAACGTTTGTGGTTTATGTTACACATTTGACTGATTTGCTACACGCATTGAATGTATGAAATCAGTGAGTCACGAGCTCGATTATAACTAGTATCAAAGCAAGTGTCTTTCTATTTAAACTTCAACATGATGAACTGAATTATCTTGAAAATTATCAGTTTGAAATATAGTATTCAATCATGAGCACCAGATTAAGTAGGTCGGAATGTAGGATGTTACTTCGAAATAAACGTTATTGAGTTAAGCATGATGATAAAAAACGGAGGATGTACCTCACTGAAGAATAAAATCAGTGGTGAACAACAAAATGTGTAATAGGTAGTAGTAGTAGTAGTAGTAGTAGGATTCAAGATCCACACTACGTAAACTTCTACATGCCATCAATGTAAAAGATAGCATTCCAATTAAAACTTTAATGCTCAATATATATTCTTGATCAAGCATTCATTTGTTTGATGTTATGGTCAATTCTTATCGATGTCTATCAATAACAGCATGATAACCAAGAAATTCCAACAAGACATAAAAAATCTTTACTTTAATGCTCTCATTAAATAAGGATGTGCTCGTCAGCACTTAATCAATTCAGAACTCCACAAAAGCGTTTTGTCATTGTCTGTGGTTTTACTCAAACATACTGTGTAATAATAATGATAATAATAATAATAATAATAATAATAATAATAATAATAATAAATGTTATTGTAATTCCTTTGTTTAACTGATCATATTCTATAGTTTAGGTGGTAACGGAAACTGTTGAGTTTAGTAGTTTTACAGAACAGCCAAACTGTAGTTAGGCAACCACCAAAAATCAGGAAGTACTGGACAGTTCTTTCATCTTAGCGTAGGACCAAACGGAGCGTGCATTAATGGCCCCAACAGGAGTGAAACTAAGGTCCTTGCTACATCTCTCCGATCCTTAACTGTCAGTACGCTGGGTTGAAATCTATTGGTCACTAATTCCAACCTATCTGGAATATTGGGTGACCATCACTTTTTGTGATTAGTGATATCTGTCTCACGACCTACAAGGTTGAATAATATTGATCACTACTTATCATTATAAATCAAGGAATCGGCTGTCGAATATAGCCTCCAGTAAGAACTTGATAAGTTTATTAATAAAGTTAGGTTTCGAACGTTGTTGACTATCGTGGTTTGCCATCGTATATTAACTTTAGCTAGACAATCATATCTACTGAAGTCTTGCTAATATCTGAAATATCCGTATTCATAAATATTTACTTCGTAAACTTAAATATCCCAGTCAGAACTTTGATATTATACTACTGATTGACTACTTTAAATGATGAATACTAATCAGTACACCTTGATAAACCCATTCAACTACGTTATTATTTGTCTGCTTACTGTGTGCTTGCTTCCTGCATGCTTGCGGATTTCATCAATCTCTGACAATAAACTATCTGAAAGGGATTTTGTGGGGATTGTAGTAATTCCACGAGTTAATTGAAGCCAGGTCACCATGGAAAACCTGGGAGCACTGGACGACCGTTCCATCATAGTATGGGACTCCTCAATAGTAGATTGGTTGAAGTTAGACATCAACGCCGCCGGATATCTGCTCAGTGGTCTAAAGGTTAGGCGTTCGCGCGCGAGAGTGATAGGTCCTGGGTTCGAATCTCGCTCGGCGGGATAGAGGGGCCGTTCAGGGCTTCCAGGTTTTCCATGGTGGTGTAGCTTCAACTGACTCATGAATTCAATTAGTAAATAAAGTATCTCTGTAACTGATGTCCAGGCTTTTGAATAATCTCTAGTAAATCCGTAATTATACTAGGAAATTTATCTTGTGTTAAATACTCAGTTAACAGGATACTATTTTTTGGAGTCAGATAAAGAGGAAATCAGCCTCAATAATATCACCAAAATGAGAACTTCAGTTATGTGTAGTAATAATACGAGCTCATGGATGTTGATCTTTGAGATTCTTTAAATAATTTATCATAAGTAGTATGACTAGTTTATGGATAGCAAAGGAATCTAGGAAGAGAATTTTGTTTTATTTAAAACTCGTTAGCTGTATGTATTAATATTCACAGTGAAGCTTGAATCCTGTATCACTCTCACCTAAAATAACAATGCGTTACTCACTCGGCTATTGATTCAAAATAGCCACCAACTTGTTTAAAGGAATCGAAGAGTTTCTAATTTCCCTTTGTCAACAATAAGGACTGCAACTGATTAATTCTAGTGCTCATACGTGTATTCTTAGCGCAGAACTTATAGTATATTTATTATGGCTAGAAGTAAAATTGATCACGTGCGTTCAGTCCTATTTGAGATTTCTCAGTAGAATATCAAAGACACTAAATGTAAACCTTCAATAATTTATTAGCAACAAAATTCGATTTGAGGCCTCCTCGCTGCACTTGTAGGTAGTAGGCGCAACCTTGCTAGCTAATTCGGGCAGTTGGCGAAGATTAGACTAACCCACCTTCGTGCTGAGCTTGGATTGCTCAAAGTTCACTCATCAAAGCCTTAGAAGTCGTGACTGGCTGCCCGATGTGTACGCCCACGAATATGAATTGCATGAATCTCGGCTTTTGTAGTTGTGTATATAGGTATATGTAAAGGGTACGCGCCAGGACCGTAAACGGAAGATAATCTGAAAAACATGTTTACCTATATTTGATAACGTTAGCAGCTTAAACCATCAGATCGAAGACAATAAAAGGATATGGCAGAAAATACTAGGGATTGGTGATCATCGACCCTTCTTGAGAGAATATTTATGCTCATGTGTATTTCTTGAAGTGTATGGACAAAAGTCATTGCACCGATGGTATGCACGTAATATTCAGTAGATAGTTAGCTGTAGTAGCTGTAGCAAATACGTTTAAAGGAAGAGGTGAATATCTACCCTCCCAGGTGGATGAATATACCTATGTATAGGTCACGGAATGCATGCGTAAAGACTATACTTCCCCATGGCTTTAACATCCACACAGCAAGACTAGGGGTTCCCTCTCAAAATCACGTCCATGCGGTGGGTTGGTGATCCTCAAAAGGCAAATTCTAACTAACATAAGCTTATGAGCTTTACCGAGAGAGGCTTCACCAACCTCGAGTGGCTGGAACACCACACTAATTTATCATGGATACCAAAAATGTACAAATAAACTCATACTTTACAGCATTTATCATTTCGGCCTTTTAAAAATGGCAATTACTACTTACCATAATCAACCTTGTCGGATAAATCTTTACGAATAAGAAATAATTTGTCATTATTCTCAGTATAATAATTCTTAGTGGAATATTCATATGACAATATGAAACCAAGCTCATTTGTACTTGTTACATGATCTGTAATAAAATAAATATATACACGTTGCATTTCAAATTTATTATTCAATATTATTTGTTCCTGTGGTACTGATGTCCCGCACAAAATTAACTTGGGTGTAATATTTAAATAATTCTGTTCATAGATTTCTATACGATCACCCACATGTTGCGTACATCTAGATTGGAGTTTCAAAAATATCAGATAGTAACAGCGAAAAATGTAATATTAAGAAACAATAGTATTAAAGAACTAGATGGAATCAACAAATGAATAATTATGATGTAATGAAACAGAGTAAAGATTGAATGTCACCACGACCTATCTACTTGGAGTGCCCAATCATAGGTCAAATCATAACGTTCGTACTGGTTGATATTACTCAGACAACCAAGGAATAACATTGCTGGTTAATAGTACTGCTTGATCATACTTCTACCAGTACTTTCTAAATCCATTCTAACATCATCTAAAGTAAAGGAGTAATTTTGAAGCCACAAGGCATGAATCATACATGTTTAAATTACTACAATCATTACATTTTCATTTTTCTTGAAAGTGTATGTGATTCCTTTGAAGAGTTCCTTAATTCCAAATAATAATTAAAAATGCTAGCATTGTATGATTGATTCAACTGTAGTTACAATTGGGAATAAAAAATATCAAAACATTTGTTGCGAATTTACTTTCAGAAAGACTAGGTTGTTACAGTTTTTCTTAAAGTGTAGTGTAGTAACACTCTTACGATTAATTCTGATAACGGTTAATCCTGTCGACCCCTTTCATCTGACGGAAAGTGTCATCGTCATAGTAACAAGTCGTTTACCTCTTTGTATTAGTAGAATCGCTATCACACTTGCGTTAACGTGTATATTTGAACGCTTATTACAACCAACGCATATTCCTGTCTATCTAAAATCTTGGTCACTTAAATATAGCTCAATGTATGATTCTCCTTCCCTCATATATATGTGCTTGTATTATAAAAACGAACTGTACTTTATTTGATATAACTATAAATTTGCATCTATAGTCTCTTGCGATGATTCATTGACATTTTCGCTTAAAATCCGCTTGATGTGTTTGTAATTCTATGGTCAGCGCGATCGGATAACAAATTGTAGTCGCGGTTTCTGATCGCTTTCTGAATTCAATCCTTGTAATAACGGTTATCAGAGTGAACGTTTAACGAACCTACGCGCACTACTGCAGTTAAATTGGAAGTCGATTCAATGTTTTCCGGAAATTGCATAATTCACGGATAATAGTTGAGCACAGATTGTTGTTAAGCACTGAAATAGTCAACTTACACATGAATCACAAATTTAAATAAAAAAAACTGAAATTATTGGTTAGGTTCATTCTTGAGTCAATAATATTTATTTATATTTATTTGAACACATAAATATTGGAACAAAGGGAAATTGAATACATATGCGCCACACAAGTCACTTGATTTGTGTGTTGGCTGTGATACTACCTGGGTGCCCAGACCAAAGCAGGTGGTCTCCTTAGAGGCTACTTCCGGAGCCTTCGACCCAAAGGTCTGATCCATAAAGCAGTGGAGCAACGCTAGGAGGTGCAGTCCCATGGTAGTCAGTGAAGATAACTGTAGATGATAAGCTAACTCTCCCCACCCTCGGGCATTTGGGGGCGAGCCAGTAGTAACTAAATTTATAATCCAAACGTATAAATAACAATACAAAGCCTCGTAAATTAATGTTCCGTTTTTTAGTTAAAATATCATTATTGCCGTTCAAGGAGTTATTTGTTTTATTCAATATTGTCTAAATTGCTTACTCAGTAACTGATAACTTAGTAATAATCAGTATTATGTACTCTAGAAGTAGTAGACGTCAGTATCGCAAGAATGAAATGTCAAATTAGGCTCCATGTCTATTGCTCGCAACACAGAACATTACTGTGTCGAGTTACATCAAGTAATGGCTGCTTAAAAATTATTCAATAAATCTCGTCAACATTAAAGACTAGATAAGCATGATATTAGTAGCTACTCAATGCTCAATCAAGATTAGAAAATTATATTCTTTCAGTCACATATATTTGAAATGTTTCACCAACGAATTAGTGTTTGTTCGTTTATGTTTAGAATTTTCTCATTAGTGCGTATTTTCCGTTTTGTTGATTAGTGAATGATCTATGAAATTCGAATCCTACAACCAGTTAGGTTTCACGTGAATTTTAGTCAGGTTTTTTTTCGTCCCAAACATTTTGTTAGTAAGCGTGTGATTTTGTTATAAAAACGATTCATATTTCTTTTATGAGTTTTTCGGCTTTTTATATACGGATGACTGTGCCAACAACATCAACGTACGTGATAAGTCATCATTCATGTGCCTCATTTATTTTAATTCAAATGGTGGTTTGCTCTTCACATAATCCGTAAGTAATTTCTATGTTATTACACAAAAACAGATAAAGTTGTTGACGTTTAGCGCAGAATTTTCAGTATGATATATGTAGTCAAAATAAATCCTACCTCACGCCTTGACGGTCAGTTATTTATTCCATATTTTATATCACTGACTGAAATTAGTTAGACAACCATTAGTCAGGAAGCACTGGACAACCGTCTTGTCCTAATATGGGTATACTCAGTATTGAGGATCCACAAACACACCACTAAGTAATGAACCCAGTGACTGTAGTCTAGCTGTGGATGCCTAACCTTCAGATTAATGAATCGGTATTCAATGATCTCTTTAAAACTCCTCTACTCATAACAGTGATGTGCTCACCAGTGACTAACTTGAAGGTGCAATCCTAAGAGTTCTAGCGAGAAGCTGTAACCAATGGAGTTTAGAAATGTCAAGTGTAAGTAAGGAAGACACTGAATACAATGAGATAGAGTCGCGCAATACTGTGGCTATATACACTATGGTACGCCCTTTCAGAAGTCTAAAGGTTAGGTACCCGCAGTTACATTGGACTCGATACTCGACGGTATGTTTGTGGATCCCCCAATACTGAGTAAGGTCATAATAGAATAAAACGGTTGTCCAGTGCTTTTTGATTATAAATGGTTGCCTAGCTAAGATGAGTTAGTTATTCAAAATAGAAAAATTAAGCAATTTCCACAAACCCACCATATTCCCATCTTTGAGCCCAGGACCTCCAGATCTCTAGGCAAGTGCAGTGCTTTTAGATAACTGAGTCATCCTCAGAATATATTTTGATACTTCATTACCTCCAAATACTGTGTACACCATTAAAAAAATGTGAAAATCAACCGTGGCCAAAATTCAGTTATTTTTATTCTTTATCAAGTGATCTTAGACAGATCTTGAAATTCCAGTCATCAAAACACAACTACAACTTAGTAGATTTTTGGTAATCACACTGGTCAATAAAACACGACAAATATATACCAACTTACTTGGTACTCGGCATGTTACTTCCTAACTGAATATCTGAGAATTTCAATCGAAGCAATCTCTTTTCAGGTATATTAATAATGTATATTAGTTTACAGTTCTGTGGATAAACTGATGGATAATTCGGAGATTTTATTGTTCCTTGAAGTTTCGATGGATTCATCCAGATATGTTTTATTTGTTGAATAGTCTTTTTTTTAACTGACGAATCAACTAACAAAGAAAATGGTTAATGCACAGATTAATAAACAAACAGTAAAATTACTACAATACTACTTACAAATAATTCATAAGGAAATTTGTTAAAATCTAATAAAATAATTAAAATCATATAAAGATCCCCATCATATTAAAAGGTTAATATTTGAACGAAGAGTACTATTTTCGATAAATACGAAGTTTTGTTAATAAAGATAACAACTGAACTGACAACCCTAAATTCACATACTTTAAACGATGTACTTTGCTCTTAACCTGGCCATTTTTCGGATTATTAATTTGGATATATAACTGTAGAACCTGAAGAGAGTTTATCGAAAATGATATTCTTCGTTCAAATATTAGTCTTTTAATTAAAATCAGTTAAGTTTTATGGAGATTTATATATAGTTGTACCCTATTTCATCCAACTGAAATTAAGATCGTCTTAATGCTTCACCTAGGAAATTTGGTTCACTCTTCTTTTTTAGGAGGAAAACGATTCAAATCAAAATTATCTAAGTTGAATAAATAATTTCAAATAATGAGTCTAATACTACCTGGTTATGATTATGTTCCGTAATGAAAGACTGCATACTTCTGCACTGTCCTCCACTAAGCTACACTGGAAGGTACTTTCTTACAAGTCAGGAAATATTCTTTAATGCATGAAATATTTACCCAGCTCCAAATAAGCCAAAAGACAGGTATCCATATCAAAATGGTTAATCAAGGTAATTTGTTTTTCATGTAGATGAGTTTCCTTGAGCGTCCATTTGACATGAACAAAGGAACAAAGAAGCCATGACAAACAACAGAAGCTAACTTTAGGGAGGTTATTTCACTTGATTCAAAGCTTGTAGAGTAATAATATTTAGTTTCGTCCCTAGTTTATTATACAAACCATAAGCATTCGTTTGATGAATGATTCACTGTCATACCCTTTTCTGTTTCAAAGTCATTGTAATTTAGACGTAACCTTTTGTACTCCATTTTTCTACGTCAATGTCCAATTTGGACATGATTGTATTTTCCTAAATGTATATGTGTTATGGTCGTGTTTGTCATCGATTTATTCATGTTCTTTTTACCTTTATCTGAATAAAGGATCAGGAATAAATCGAGTGGTGTTCCAGTTGACTAGCCTTCTCTCTCGCTTTCTCGCTTTTCAACAGATCAGGTAATAGAATTATCGTCTCTCTGCCCAATGCAGTTGGTTTTGATTCAAACACACACATTTCCAGCTTCAAGTTAAAACAAGTCTGCCTATCGAGATAAGTTCTCTCCTGTATATTATTGGGTAAACACATCAAACATGTAACACTAGTGAATGATAAAAACACTAAGTTTGCATTGAATATTTCCGAAAGTGATTTTACTCAGGGATCCTTAGGCAATAGTATTAATTCCATGTAGATTTTGTACCCATAACTATTCTACATGTTGAATTAATTATACAAGTCACTTACTGAAGAAAATTACTCTGGGTATAAATAAGTGGCTCACAGAAGGACTCAGTAAAAGATAATTCAAAAGTCCAAAGACATAATTAATATCAAAATGACTATGGATTAAACATTTATCTAACAGTGTCTAAGTTTTGATTTTGTTTATATTCTGAATGAGTCATTCGAGTTTAAATGTGATCAAATCACAACATGCGTGTATGTAGATGTTATGATTGCTGAAATGTGTTGAACAAATCAAGCAGTAAACAATAATCTGAATCTCATTATTCATCAAAATAAAATCCAAAATAGGTAGGAATAGATTGATCTTTTCAAAAAATAGCTAATGAATCATAGTTAAGATCCAACCATAACAAGTAGATTTCATCTCATCATTTATCTCTCACTTAAATCAGTAGTTGAGCTTCGGATTTCTCCCGACCGTTGTTGCTACCTTGACGTGGTGGTCGGGCTTGCCTATCGTGATGAAACAACCGAGCTATACTGACTGGAACGACTGTTCCTCAAGGTCCTACCACGTCGGTTGAAGAGCGGTAAGACTGAAAGCAACAAACCCAAGGTCTGAAGGCGAAGTCGTACTGCTGACTGTACAGAGGTGTGACAGCAGTAAGGTATTTCCTTCAGACAACCAGCATGACAGCGATGCTGCCTTCCCACAAGGAGGGGTGGGGTTAGAAAGAGTCGACCCTAAAAATGCACACCTCGCCTTATCCCACGGATATCCGTCTCCGGCGGTAAGGTCTCAACAAGTACGGAGCTAACACAAAAAATTGCCCATAAAAAGGTCGTGTGTGACCGACCTCAAGAAATTGTCCCTTGGGCACTGCGGTCACGCTCCCTGGTCACTAAGACCACTTCTAATCCGATTTCCTTTTCAGGTACCTCCAGAAGAACCCTTCCACTGTGTGGGCAACCGGGAAATGATAACCGCCCTCATACCTCTAACAGCACTCAAGACCACTGGATTCATAATCAACCTCCCTCTTCAGTTCCTATTACTCCTTCTACATCGACTTTCACCTCTAAACTTCCTTTTTCGGCTTCCCCCTCAAGTGTCATCATAGCCAACGATTCTAGTGCGCAAAACACTATCCCATTTCTACTGAAACCTCTCTCCAAACTACACATTGAAGCCTTCAACGTACGCACCCTATGTCAAATCGGTCAACAGGCTTCCTTGGCTAGAACCCTAGAATCTCGTACCATTGATGTATGCTGTGTCTCTGAAACACGCATACAGGGTCCCAGTGTGGTCATTCACTCAACCTCACATTGGCAAAACGGAGAGCCAACGAGATACACTCTCCATCTATCTGGTGACCCAAATGACCAGCTCTCGTGGACTGGCAGGAGTAGGGATAGCACTAAGCATGAGGGCTGAACAAGCACTGTTAGAGTGGATCAGCTGTGGAAACAGCAATGAAATCTATTAGTGACTTAAACCAGAGTTACAAAGAACCAGTGGATTTCTTGAAGGTCTATCACACTGATGGACTCTCGCAAACTCGTCCCATCAGGTTCTGAGCATGATAAAGAGCGTAAAGAAATCAGATCTAGGTTAAGAAAAAGTCTAAGAAACGACCGTGAGCAGTGGTGGGCAACGAAAGCAAAAGGGATGGAAAAGGCAGCGTCTATAGGGAACACAAAACAGCTTTACAGACTAATAAAAGAAACTGGAATTAATAAGTCAAGTGTGAGATTATTTCGGAAAAGGACGATACTCTCATCTACTCCCAGTCCAGACGTTTAGAACGATGGGAGGAACATTTTAGAAAACAGTTCAACTGGCCTTCAGCTACTCTACAACTACCGTCCATTCCCAGACAATGTGAATGGAACATTGAAGTAGGTCCCCCAAATCTTGCTGAAGTTGAGAAGGCTATAGTCAATCTGAAACGAGGAAGGGCAGCTGGTCCAGATGGATTGGCTCCAGAAGTCTTTAAGGATGGTGATCCAATTTTAACGGTTAGGTTGACTAATATTTTAGCTAAGATCTCGGAGTCAGATGTTATTCCATCTGACTGGTCGCAATCACTTATCGTCCCAATATATAAGAAAGGATCAAAATCATCTTGTGACAACCACAGAGGGATTAGTTTAACAAATATAGTATCTAAAATACTAGCCTCAATAATAATCAGACGCCTAACTAAGACTCGTGAACTGCAAACACGAGAAAACCAACCTGGTCGTGGCTGCATCGACCACATATTCACCATTCGTCAGGGTCTAGAACATAGGCATACTTATCAGCGTCCGACAATGGTGGTCTTTCTTGACTTAAAAGTAGCACTTGATTCTGTAGATCGAGAGGTTCTGTGGCAGTGTCTGTCATTGAAAGGCGTACCTCAGAAGTACATAAACCTTGTAAAGGCTCTTTACTCGAACACTACTAGTCGAGTCAGAGCTTATGGTGAACTGTCATCTTGTTTTGCAACCTCAAGTGGTGTCCGTCAAGGCTGTCCACTTTCTCCATTTTTGTTCAACTTCATCATAGACCTACTGATGGAAATAACATTCTCGTCGACTGAATTCTCGGGTATTGATCTTCTTCCAGTAGGTCCACTTATCGACTTAGAATACGCAGATGATATAGTCCTGTTTGGTGAAGACGCTGATAAAATGCAGTCTTTTGGTAGCACTAAGCAACAATGCCAGAATGTTTGGAATGCGCTTCTCTCCCTCTAAATGCAAGTTGTTGCTTCAGGACTGGCCTGCGTCAACACCTGAACTAAGGATAGGGAGTGAAGGGTTCGAACGCGTCGACAACCTCACTTATCTTAGAAGTCTGACCAGCCCTAATGGGTTGGTTTCTGACGAAACCTCAGCACGGATTCGAAAAGCTCGTTTGACTTTTGTCAACTTACGTCACCTATGACGAAAGCGAGATATCCGTCTATAAATAAAAGAACGAGTATACTGCGAGGCAATCCATTGTGTTTTAATTTACGGAAGCGAAACATGGCCATTAACAGTAGAAGACACTCGTAAGCTACTAGTATTTGACCACAGATGCCTTAGAAATATTGGTGGCGTCTGTTGGGATCACCGGGTAAGTAATAGTGAGGTTACACGCAGGGTATTAGGTAATGATGGTAAATCAGTTGATGAGGTTGTTAATCTTCATCGACTAAGATGGTTGGGCCACGTGTTACGTATGCCTGAACACCGATTACCACGTCGTTCAATGCTAACGGGTGTTAGAGATGGTTGGAAGAGAATTAAGGGCGGCCAAACCAAAACGTGGCATCAGTGCTTGAAGACACTAACCTCTAGTCTGAGCCATGTTGGTAGATGCAGACTACTTGGTTGGGGTCCGCGTGACTTTCGTAACCGATGGTTGGAGACTCTTTGTGACATGGCTCAGAATCGATTACACTCCCTGTCTTCCCTTAAACCAAGAGATTAAAATCGCTTCATATCTTTCTTTGTACGAACTAATTCTATATTCCCGTACTGTATCCTTATATGCAATCTTTCTCCTATATATTACCACCTTTAACCTAACCCCTCCTATGAATCCGGTGTTCATCTTGCTGTGCTAAC